GCAGTTATGATGAGACCAGGCTGGCTCACACAGCCCCCAGGGCAGAGCAAGACCCAGAGCCTGCAACTGAGTGGCCTGAGAGCACGCTGCGCCCGACCCAACCGGAGCCAGACGCATAGCCAGCAGGGAAATAGCTGGACAGCAGGACAGTGACACCATGTGCGGAGGCCATGTGCCCTGGGGTCGATTCTGACTCACAGCCACCCCAGTGACAGAGCAGGGCCACCTGGGGGGCCTCCCGGACTGATGGCAGGAGGGGCTGGCATGTCCAGGGCATTCTTCCCAGGAGCCGTGAGGCGGGTTTGAACCAGTAACCTTTGGGTGAACAGCCGTGCACCAGACCGCTTTGCCACCAGGGCGCCTGGCTTATTGGGGGCAGAACTTCTATTTGGGGTGAGGGCTACCCAGCATTGTGATGTGATCCACGCTGCTGATGGACGCACTCTGAAGTTGTGGCCACAGCAGCTAAGGACTAAAACACGTGTGGCCGGGGAAACCGGCCGATAGCGATGCAGGCACGTGCGCCCCAGGCTGGCACGGAAGCGACGTGTGCTGGTGGCAGCACACGGCTGGGGACCCACTGTGTGCACTGGACAGCACCCAGGGCCCGGGTCACAGAGGTGCACCCACATGCTGTCATCTCCACCAGGTGAACCCTCGCCATTGGCAAACTCCCAACACATTCACAAAGACCCAGCTTCCGTGCCCTCTCCCCCCAACACTGGACTCTTCTCTACCCCCACCCAAAGCCTGTTCCAGCTCCCCGCCTCACTGCCCTCATCTGCTGAAATGGATGGGGACTCCGCTTTCAGGGGTGCCTCCTCGGTGCCCCTGCCCCCTTGGGAAATGGGGAGGTAACAACTGCCATAGAGAGGTCTCACGTGGCTGGAGAGGGCCCCGGCAAGAAGGTCTGTGCTCAGCGCTGGGCTTGGCATCCAGCTCATACCCAGGAAACAGCTATTGCTATCGCCACCACCACCAGCACCACCAGCACCACCACCACCACCACCACCACCATCACCAGCACTGTTTCCACCACCACCACCATTACTATCATCACCATCACCATCAGCATTACTATTTCCTAGCTGCTGTTGTTAGTCTCTTGGTGCACAGTAGGTGCAAAACCGAGAGTCCTGGTGGGGACATGTGTACACACACACACACACACACACAGCTGCATGCACCTCCCATGACAGCCTCTTCTTACCTTCTGCCACACAGCCGCCAACAAGTAGCACCACGAGGAGGCCCAGGGGACCGAACGCCGATGCCACACCGGGGCCCTGTGTGGGCGCCATGCTTGAAACGACCTCCGCCCTCCGGCCCGGAGGGGGTGGCCCCCGGTCCCTCACCAAGAGGCCTTGAGCCGAGGGTCAGACCACGCAGCGTCTGCAGAGACAAGGGAGAGGCCGTGAGCAGGAAGTGGGCAGATCCAGGGTCTGCACAGAAGAGGCGGCGGCAAAAAGACCATGAAGGGATAAGGGAGGGTGTCTCAGGGGAACACGGCAGGGAGGC